TATTATTCGCTACAGACTTTTCGAATAAAACTTGAACACGGTTTTGAGTAGAAAACACGTTTATTTGGTACAAAACAAACAAAAATAAAACACTCCGCCCGAGCGAAAGTCGTCGCTCACGCCCTAACCATAATACGCTCTTGCCGAGTTTCACGACAACAACGGCGGAACTAAGAGTTCCCCGCGCGTGTTATACTGTTATATAGTCAAATTTTGATGTCACCTCAGCACGTTTTAGCTTCGTTGGCATCAATCAATTACTTACTCATTCACTAAAATATATTTCCACATGATTACTATACACAATATTTGTATTTATTTATTATTATAATTTACAATTGATGGTCTACTGCAGTTTTTTTACAACATCTCGGAGCAGCTATAGCGAGTTCCTAATTCTTATAATTGGTAACTTTATTTTTAGATTTAACGAACCATTATTTGTTTTTTCTCATTAAATGCACTATTAAACAATTAAATAAAAATATACTCGAGTGTCTTTAATATTTAGCCAACGTATTTGGCACGCGTGCTATATATTATATTGCATACACAATAAACGGAATATTTGGTTAAAATGTGTCGTAATAACATTCAATCAATACCTATAGTATACTGCGTACTGTCCAGAAATGCAGTTGATTCATAAAATAATATGTAGGTATAGTATTTTAGAATTAAAATTAAAATGTTTGTAATGTTTATAATTTATTATTATTACCTATTGATCGACATTTTTTCAAGCAAACCCTTTGATTAAAATATTGCGTTACATCTGTATTCTAATTTTAAACTATAAGCAACAACACGTATAATATAATATAATATAAGGTATAGAGGTTACGCCCCGAGTACCCGTGTGGCATAATTACACGTGTCGAAAAACGAATTTCACGTCATTCTAATTCCTAATATGCTGTAAAGTACAAAGTCATTCATTACACGTTTGACACCCGTGTTTCTAAATAAATATATAGAGACTATATAAAGTATATACCTATTATATGCATGCTAAATAATAATGTAACAATCGACTACCGCGCAGCGTTGTAGTTCAGACACGTAGTGCCTAAGGGTTGGCCCTTATTAACCACCTCAAACATTTTACTCTCCTACTATTTAGTTGAGATACCCAAGCTAAATTGCAATCATGTCAAAAACAAAAAAAAAATTGAATCTTTGCTTAGAGCTTAGCGTGTATCAATTCCAAATTATATCTGTCGTACCTGAGTGATTCACTAATATATAGTGCGATATAACCATGTAGGCATAGTATGCCTGGCATATCGTAAGGCATACCACCACTTCACCAGTTATCAGCGGACGGCCATCGTTTCCGCCAAAACGAAAAAGGTTCGATTTTAATTTCCGGCAAATGTATTTCTACCTATATTATTGAGTTCCCATAGTCTTATCTATAGTGCAATCGATCATCGTTGTATGTCGCGATAGCATGAGAAAAACCATTTGATATTGACGATATCTTAAATAGATAATTGATTTTACGAGTAGTAATTCCTAGTAATTATAAATAAACATAAATCCGTCTAACCTGCAGTTAGTGCAGTATCATGTGTAGATAGATGAGTCGTGAGTAGTGTCACTGTGACAACAACTACGAAGTAAAATGACGGGTAGGAATCGAGTAGGAAGTGTCAAGTGAATCGTGAATAAAATAACCTAATAAAATAAATTAATAGAATATATTTTTTTTTATGAAATTCTTAACGATTAAACGTGGTAAAAAAATGATTGTAATTTAGGGGTTCCAGAATAACAAATAATTGTGAATCTTTTCATCACATTTTAATGAACGACTCTGTAAATCGCATCCACAAATTTTTAAACCCTCGCGTAAATATTATTAAGTACAAACGATATCGTCGTTGTATCTCAATATATATTATTATTAGTTTTTCATTTATTTATTGTTTATTTGGATTAAGGCTTCAACTACTAAGGTCATTAGCCTAGTATACTGAGTGGTGTGTGTGTGTGTGATGGGGGAGGGGGTGGTTGATTGGAGCACGTTTTTTGTATGCGTGGCAAGGATTTGTTGCTAAAAACCCGGGTGGTCACCCATCCGAGTGCTATAGCAACGACGACCGGTAAGTAGTACTATTTACGCTCAGAGCGTTGTCGCAGATTGAGCGTACGATCGTGCCTCACCAAGTCTCACATTATCAGCTATTAAGTTAATATTAATATTAATTATATTATATTAAATTACACTTGAAATAAATCTTTAATATAAAAAAATACCTTATATTATATTACACGAATAGGTATAATTTAATATTATGTTAATATTATACGTGTATATTGTCATTCGTTCAATGTAATCAATCGATATGCAATTTTTTATGCGATAAGTGTGTGTGTGTGTGTGTGTGTGCTGTGGGAGGGAGTCAGCAATCAAGCCGACATACATTTCAATTATAGTTGGTTCGCACGTAGGTTAACATGTGTTTAGGATATTGCGGTATTGTTGACTTTTTTAAACTGTAAATTTGACTATCATTGTAGAAAAAAAATCCAAGTGGGGAAATATAAAAGTAAATAACGTAAAGTTCCAACCATATAGAGCAATGAATAGTTCTACGATTTCAACACTTCCTACAGAGTGAAAACTTTCTATAACATGTATTAAATACGATTTTGTCTGTCTGGACCATAAATTACGTACCTACTTACTCGCTAAAAAGTTAAAACTGCTCGTTCCATAGAGGTACTTACCTAGGTACTTGTATAATGCAATATACTCTGGTGACTGGTAATGTATATACATACGCACTGCCCACATGGCTGTTTATAGAGGACAAAAGTTTACTTTTTGTACACCCACCCACACCCACCCACACACACACACACACACACA